CTCCAGTGCCACCTTCATCATAAATTAAGGTTCTATATACGTAGATTCATTTTGAGGTTCTCTATTCTAGACTCCTGGTGTGGCTCTCTAGGACAAGCACTGAACTGCTAACTATAAATTAGTGCTTCAAACACACCAGCCATTCCTTGGAAACCCCATATAGAGTTATTACCAGCTAGAACGACTTGACAGCACTCAAGAACAACAATGGTTCTGCTTAATTAATCTATATGTTTATATTTGTACCATTATCATAGTGGCTTGATTACAATTTTATTACAAACACTGTTAATTGATAAAGTGAATCTCCCCACCTATTTCAAGAGTTCTTGGCTATTCCTCATCCTTTGCATTTTCACACAAGGGAGTTTCCAAAAGTTCAGGGAAAAATGGAACTAAAAGATGATATTTTTTTGCCACAAACTTTTTGAAACCTCCTCATACATATTTTAGATTCAGTTTGTCAAGTTCTTCACAGAAAATCCTACTGGGATTTAAATGATGATATGTGATCTATAGATTAATATGAGTATAACATATATTTTTATGGTATCAAGTCCTTTCATTTAAAAAAAAAGTATGTCCCTTCCTATATTTCCATCTTATAACATTTTCTACAGTATTTATAGTTTTCTACATAAGAGGGTTTGTACATCTTTCATTATTTCTTTCATGATAGTTCATATTTTGAAACACTATTGTTAATTTTATCTTTTAAAAGCCTTTTAGTTTCTGTTTATTATCAATACATAGAAATACAATTAATTTTTATAGATTAGCCTTTTATTAGCAACATTGGTAATCTCATTTATAAATTCTAGTCATAGATTATTTGGGTTTTCTTCATACCCAGCTATATCATCTGATAAGAACTGCAGTTTCCTTTTCAGCCCATGTACTTTCTTTTCCTTTTCTCTTGTTCTGGTGTGGCACTATAGGATAAGCACTGAACTGCTAAAAATAAGGTTGGTAGTTCAAACCCACCAGTTGCTCCTCAGAAACCTTATATAATGTCACTGTGAGTCAGAACTGACTCTGATGGCACTTAACAACAACAATATTGTTTTGACCAGAATTGTCCCACACAATGAAAATGGCTATAGTAGTATCCTTGTACGGTTACAAACTCAAAAGGAAAGCTTTGAATATGATGTTTGATGCTGGCTGAAGGATTTTTGTAGCTGTCTATTTACCAGTTAAGAATATTCTCCACTATTCTAAATTTATTAAGACATTTTATCATATATTAATGTTTAATTCTTATCAACACACTTTCTGCATCTGTGATGATCTTATGATGTTCCTTCTCATTTATCTACTGCCATAGAGAACTCTGGTAGCGTAGTGGTTACAAATCGGGCTGCGAACCTTAAGGTCAGCGGTTCGAAACTACCAGCCACTCCGCGGGAGAAAGATGAGGCTTTCTACTCCCGTAAGGATTTACACCCTCGGAAACCCTGTACAGGGTCGCTATGGGTCGGAACCGACTCGACGGCACTTAACAACAACAACAACATAGAGAACTAAGGAGCCCTGGTGGATAAGTACTGGAATAACCACAAGGTTGGCAGTTCAAATCCACCAGCCACTCAATAGAGAAAGAGGCTTTCTGCTCCCATAAGGACTTATAGCCACAGAAGCCCTATACAGGGTTGCTATGGGTGAGAATTTATTTGACAGTACTGGGTTTTTTGGTTGGTTGGTTGGTTTTTTATAATGTAGGAAATTTAAGGAGACCTGGTGGTACAGTGGTTAAGTGCTTGGTTGCTAACTGAAAGGTCAGTGGTTTGAACTACCAGCTATCCCAGGGGAGAAAAATATCTGCTTCTCTAAAAATGTGCAGCCTTGGAAACACTATGGGGCAGTTCTATCCTGCCCTATAAGGTCATTATGAGTAGGAATAGACTTGAAAATAATGGATTTGGTTTCGGTTTTGAGTATAGTGAACTACATTTCCTTGTAAAGATTAAGCCAATTTGGTATTTGTGGCTGGCTTTTATTTACTGATATTTTCCTAGGATTTTTCTATTTATATGCAGTAAAATTGGCCTGTAATCTTTCTGTCTTGTAATACCCTTGTGAAGTTTTGATATCAAGATTATGCTGAGCTCACAAAACAAGTTGGATATTTCCCTTTTTATTTTTAAGTTCTCTGGAAGTCTTTGGTTAAACTGATGTTGTTTCTCCCCTTAAATATTAGGCAGAATTCACTGGTGAAGCTATCTGGATCTGGAGTTTCTTTGAAAGAGGGCTTTTTCCATTATGTATTTTAGCATATGATATATATGTAATTATATATTATTCCGTTTTCCTCTTTATTAAATTAGTAGATTTATTTTTTCTGTTCTTTTCAAAAAAACAAAACAAAAAAAAAAAAAACTGTTCTTTTAGTGGATGTCCTAGAAATTATAAAGTGCACCTTTGAAATCTCAAAGTCTTCTGGACAATACTAAAGTCCTGGTGTGGTACTATAGAATAAGTAATGGACTGCTAATCACAAGGTCAACAGTTCAAGCCTACCAGTTGCTACTTGGAAACCCTGTATAGGGTCACTATGAGTTGGAACCAGCTCTACGGCACTTAACAATAACAAGAATACTTTAATCCCACTTAATCTCTTGATCTGTACACCATCTTTGCCATTAGTCTGATTTCACATGCAGAATCTCAGACCCAATCCCAGATCATCTAGCATGGTGCTACTGATAGAACCTACCATTAAGAAGATCACAGGATAATCCATATAAACATTAAAGTGTGAGAAGCCTATATCCAAACACTCCTGGTTATGATGAGCTCACTGCTTCCAAAGAAATTCATCCCACATTTAAACATTGTTTACTATTAGAAATATCTTCATTACATTAAATAAAAAGATTTCCCTAAAATCCCAATCTTAGTTTAAACTTAAAGAACTCCCAGAACAAATTTCATTTCATTTCTACATTACAATCATCAAATCGATGAAGAGAAAGACCCTGTCCCACCTTGAGTCTTCTTTCCTCCAGTAAACTTTTCCAGTTCCTTAAACAAGATTCCAAGTTCTTTCTCTCCTAATAAAACACATGTGCTGTAGTTTCAGGTTTTGGTCTATATCCAGAGGAAGTGGAAAGAAGCATTATCATATATCAGTGTTCCTAAAGAGAGTTGAAATAATAACTCCCTGGCATAAGATATGTGATCTCCATTTTACAAGGCTGTGGTCTCAGTTTACCTCTACATTGACTTTATCCTGGTATTGTGGATTTGAATTCCTTCAAAATCACATCAACAAATATTAATTAATGTTTTTATGTGGGCAGTATTGTATTGTGGATAATGCATAGGCTATTTCTCAAAGATTTTGCAGTTTGTTTAGACAAACAACATGTAAATATATTGTTGCTGTTTAAGTGCCATTGAGTTGGTTCTGACTCATAATGACCCTGTATAGGGTTTCCAAGGAGCAGTTGATGGGTTTGGACTGCCAACCTTATGGTTAGCAGTCCAATGCTTTTCTTATAGTGCCACACCAGGACTCCCATAAATACATTAGCGTGTTTTAAATTGCTGTTGTTGTTGCTGTTAAGTGCCTTCAAGTCTGTTCTGACTCATAGTGACCCTGCTTAGGATTTCTAAGGAGCAAATGGTGGGTTTGAACTCCCAACCTTGTGGTTCCCAGTCCAGTGCTTATCCTACAGTGCCACACTGGGAATCCATAATTAAGTGCCATAATGTGTAAATTAAACTTCAAATACCCAAAGATAGGTCATTCTAATTTGGAGTAAACAAAGAATAATAAAATAATATGATGGAATCAATAACTAGCATCTATAAAGTCAATTTTGACTTAGGACAACCCTATGTGTTTGAGAGTAGAATGGCCACTACAGGATTTTCATTGCTGCCACCTTTTAGAAGTAGATCACTAGGCCTTTCTTGTTAAGTACCTCTTAGTGAATTCCAGCCAACTTTTTTGTTAGTAGTCAAGTGTTTAATTATTTACACCACCCAGAAACTCCTGTATGATGGGATAGAATATGCAATTTAAGTTAGAAACCTTGGTGGGCTCTTGGTTTTGATACTTCTTGCAAGTCCACATGAAGATGATTCTTAACTTTTTTGAGCTGTATCTTCCTCATCTGTAAAATGTAAGTAGCATAGTATTTAACATATAGAATGGTTATGTTGTTGTTTTTGTTACGTGCCATCAAGTCGATTCTGACTCAGCAACCCTGTATAGGGTTTCCAAGGAATGGGTGGTGAACTTGAACTGCCAACCTTGAAGTTCAAACCAACCTTGCAGTCCAGTGTATTAACCCATAGTGCCACACCAGGACTCCAGAACTATTATGAGAGAAATACAAAACAATGTGTGAAAAACTTAATAAATATTAACACAGATATATGTGTTACTGTTCAGTTCAATATTTGGGAAGGAGAGAGAAGTAACAATGTTAGAGTGAGGACTAGCAGGAACAGCAGGGATATCAGGAACTCTGCACATAACTGGTGACAAGGTGAGAAAGACTAAGTACCATTAAGATTCCATCTTCATAAGCTGCCCTAATCAGAGTCCTGGTGTGGCGCTATGGGTTAATGCACCAGACTGCAAAGCTGTTTGAACTATAAGGTTGGTGGTTCAAGCTCACTAGTTGCTCCTTGGAAACCCTATGCAGGGTCGCTATGAGTTGGAACCGACTCGATGACACTTAACAACAACAATCAGAGCTACACCAATTTAATTTACTAAGAGGAAAGCTTAAAAACAGCTGGGATGCACAAACAATGAAGGAGGTTGACTTGGAAGGTTGTAGGCTCCCAGATATCACTAGGGCAGTCCAAGAAAATAATGGAAAATTCTAGGGATGTTGGGAGAGAATTTGTATCTGGGAAGGAGGTTGGATGAAATGACTTGAAGATCCTAACTCAAAGCTCCTTGAATCTGAGCTTCTTGGGGGAGTTGGATGGGAAATAGCTCTCTGCTCAGCTATATTCTTCCCTCTCTGCTTCTTTTGTAGCCTATCCAGAAGAAGCCTGATGCCCCACCAGCTCAGGACCCTTGCACCACCATTTATGTTGCTGCCACAGAACCTGTCCCAGAGCCTGTCCAGGTGAGGAATCTTTCCTATAGATAAGGAATGAGCAGTGGAGGGAAAGGAAGGAAATTTGTAGAGCGGAACTACAATAAACTGAGATGTCTCAGTGTGGGGTGGTAAGCCTCAACTAGCAGACAACAAGGTGTATTTGTGACCTTGTTAGCAGAGCTTCCCGGCAGACATACTCAAAGAGGTTAGGATTCATTCCCTTCTCAATAGTGTTTCTGAGTTATCCAAGGACCACATATGAATCAGCTGGTATATTTGTTTAAAATAAAGATTTCTGGAACCTCCCACTGAGGGTTCTGTCAAATCAGAATGTCTGCTTAGACACATGTCAGAGGGAACGCCTGACAATCTACTTCCAAAATCCTAGGGAGCGTTTCTATCCTACATACTCTTGGGGTCACCAAAGTCATAAGCAACATTTTTTGTTGTTGTTGTTTAGGAATAGTATCCAGGAACATGCTCATTAAAAACAAATTTAAAAAAAGCAAATTTAAAAAAAACAAAACATAAAACAGAACAGGAGATGCTTATACACATGTAAATTTGAGAATCACAACATAAAACATGAGTTCAGTAGTTCTCAACTCCTTACATAGCAGTATCATTAGGGAAGCTTTGTGAAAATGCTCAGGCCAAGGCCCCATCCAGTTCTATTTAAACAGAATACTTTGTTCAAACCCATCAGTCACTCTGTAGAAGAAACATGAGGCTTTCTACTCCTGTGGAGATTTATAGCCTTGGAAACCCGATAGAAGGTCATTATGATTTGGAAGTGACTCAACAGCACCTAACAATAACTTCACTTTGTTGTGGAGTTCTATGTGGGTCTTAAGCCTAGAAGAGAATATGACATGCAACCCAGAAGGAGACTCATCTATTCGAGGTCATAGCAAGATCAGCATGTACTAATTTTAGTTCTTACAGGGATCTTTCTCTTTTACTAAAAAGACAGAAATAAATCCTGGTTAAAATCCCAGCTCCTGGTTTTTGACACTGCTTGTAATGTACACATTAGGATTTTTTTTAATTTTAAATACAGTTGGGCTCTATTAAATAAAGTGCTCTAGGAAACAATATAGAATTAAAATACCTACCATCTAGTCCTCTTCTTCAAAGCTCCTACCATACACAGAATCCAGATATGCTTGTGCATGCCCTGTCTTCATCTTGGGTCAATTCTCAGTCCATTGTCATATTCAAGGGAGGGTTAAACATAAATCTAGCTTCAAAAGCTTTTTAAAAAAGTCATATATTCACTGAAGTTTATGTGTAGAAAGAGAATTGTCTGTTATATTTCACATTTTATAGCAAAACCTCCTAAATTCTCTCATTCCTATTTCTTTATTTATCTCCTCTTCCTCTACTAGGTCTTTTTTCACCTCCTCTCCTAAACCAATTCTTCCTTTTCCCTTCAGGTCTGACTACTCAACCCAGTTACTGTCAAGTCACCTCCAATTCGTAGTGACCCTATATGTGTCAGTGTAGAATTGTGCTCCACGGGTTTTTTGTTTTGTTTTGTTTTGTTTTAATGTTTTATTGTGAAGTATGTGATAGTTTACACGGGAGAACATTAGCTTTACATTCATCCTATCGTATATCGTTTCATTGCCATGGTTACAATCCCCTCCATGCATCATCAACCAACCAAAGGGTATCCCCTGCAAGCCAACCCTCCCCCCTGCAACCACTCTCACCCACCCACCCCCACCCACCCCCGGTTGTCAGCACACAGCCCCTCTCCCTATCTGGGTCTAAAGTCCCCAGCTGCCCCATTTCTCCACGTCATCCTCTCTGCCTCCATCTCTGGCATCACTGCTTCTCTGGGTAAGGTCCCCCTCTCTGCTCTTTTCCCTTGATGGTCCCAGGGACCTCCACTCCTAGACTGAAAAGTTAATCACTCCCCTCCTTGCTATAAAATGTCTACATTTACATTTCCAACCCTTACAAGCAGTCCTGATAACAATTATTCACTATTGTATCACAAGAGACCTATATGCATTTCCTTTCATCAGCCCTGCCTAGACAGATTGGATACTACTCAGTGGAGATTCTACCTTCCTCCACGCCTTCTGGATCTAGGCTCCCTCTTGGAAGCTTGGAAGCCAGTCACTTCTTGCCTTTGTAGCCCCCCAACTTTGGGTAGCCATTGTCCAAGTTGCTCATCCCTGTCTACTCTGTGTATGAAGGGGTGGGAATGATCCTTGTTGGAAAGATTTGTTCCCTCTTTTGAGCTACCACATCCATAGGTGTAGGTCAAGTTCATCAAATTGTATTAGATTACTCTTTTTTTTTCCTCTTCTTTCTTCTTCTAGTTGAGCTCTGATCATCCAGCCATTGAAGCCAGGTCAAGTGGGTATTATTTGCAAGTGTGGGTGTTCTTGTGCATATGCCCTCTCTTCTTACCAGCTGGACTCTTCACTCTCCACTCTAGTCCTCTGTGGCTATGTCACTGACTCCATGAGGTTTTCAATAGTTAATTTTTCAGAGGTAGATCTCCAGACCTTTCTACCAGGGTTTCTTTGGGTGAATTCAAACTGCCAACCTTTTGGTTAGCAGTTAAACACATTAACCTTTTGAATCACCAAGGGACTCTTCAGATTTCACTAGTCCTTTCTAAAGTTTGGCAATTTAAAGCTCTCTTGGCTTCTCCAAATTGGACCCTGTGCCTACCCGCAAAACAAATAGTTTTCCTTATAAGGGAAGAAAAGAGGACAAAAAGGGAGGTGGCTTTGAGCAACAGTTCTCTGATCACTCTGAGCAGGTACTGCCATCTGCCAGGTGGCTTGTGGATGCTTAGAAGGCAGCTGTAATTCTTCTTGTGAGTAGAACAGGAAGTCTGGGGTTCTGCCTCTAACAATGCCCCAACCATGACAGTCTCTGAGTAAGTCCCTATGCTATAGAATCTCTAATACTTTTTTTTCTTATCCTAAGGATCTTGTTTCCATTTGTAGCCTATAAACCCAGTCTCTTCTGTTTTGCCACCAGGAGCCTAACTCCATCACAGTCTATGCCAGTATGACCCTTCCAGAGAGCTGACACCTAACACCCAAGGAAAGGACTTTCTGAAGGAGTACAGAAGAACCAAAATAAACACAGAACAACCACAGGCCTCAAGTTCCCCATGGCACTCTACATCTGTACCTTTCTCGGATTAACTTCCTGGCAATATTGCTTCTATCTGTGAAATGGACACAAAAGTGAGTCTTCTCAAGTATGTAGCCTGCCCTGAATAGGCACAGGCATGGATGAGAGCAACTTGCCATAGTTTTTCCATCTCTGTGGTGTAATAGATGAAATGGTCAACATGAGCCCAGACTTTCGGATATATGCTTTTTGCTGGGATTGGAGAATGAAGGCCAAAAACACAAAGCCAGGACATATATGACCTATCCCAGTCACCAGTCACCAAATGTGAACACCAGTCACGAAATGTGAAAAAGTTTGCATTTACTGTCTGTAGTTTATTCTGGAAGCTGATCCTGATCACCATGAAGACTTGATTGTGGTTCTGCATCTATTTCTTTCTCTAGAAGGGAAACAAAGGGTGAATTCCTTATTATGAGTAAAACACTCTGAAATTACTATATTAAAGAAGCTAGAAGGGTCAGTATTTTATTTGAAAAACTCAAAAAGTTAGAGTTAATAAACATAGAGAATGACTTTGAGGTCTCTGAATATGGAATAGTACTCATCTGAGATTCTTAAAAGTATGATTCTGAGTAAATGACATTCAGTCTTAAAGACAAATGGTAAGTGTTTAGGGATGCGTGTTAGTTACACTGGAACTTGGGATTCTCAGACGAACTTATCTCATGGCAATTTTTCATTTTTGGAAAATGATTTTTAAGTCCTAGTTTTCTGTTTATTCCCCTGAACAACAACATAGAGCCTTAGCTAAAATTCTGTCCAACGTGATTCTGAACCCATTTTCAGATCCAAAGTTTCAGTGATATTGAAGTCCAGGATCTGTGCCAGGTTATCACTCCTCACACTAAATGTACAATGAAATAGAAAAATTAAAACATTTTAGTTTCAAATGATTGACCTCTCAATAACTTAGCTTGCAGGTTGTAGGCAGAAAGAGCCTCTTTTGATGAAGTCCTGTTTTCTTCCTACTCTCTGCTCAAACCAAATAAAACCCATTGCCATGGAGTTAATTCCAACTCTCCTTAATATAATCTTCTCTTTTACTTGTAGGTTCTTGTATAAAACTATGAAACACTTTAAGAAACAACCAATTATTTTACAGTTGCAAAACAAACTTCACCAATTTCCAGCTTGAAATACTGAAGTCATAACTGCTTTTTGCCTAAAATTCAGTCAATTCCCATTTAGATGTTATTGCTTAGTGCATCCCATTTCCTGGTACCAACTTCTGGCATAAGGTGCTTAGTTTCAAGCAACAGAAACTGATTCTGGATTTTTTTTTACAAGAATCTATTGAAAAGCTATTGGTTGATTGACTCAATTATTTGCTAGGAAATTCTGAAAATTATGTTTTAAAATTGGGCAAGGCAAGGGACACTAGGATATAGCTAGGATCACAGCCAAAAAATCACAAAGCCACTCTGTAATGCTGCTGCTGGACATTACAGTTTCATTGTCACTACCCCCACCCTCAACACTAGCCACTGGACAGCACTGCCTCACTGTGTCTACTGACTTGGAGACTCAATATTACTGTTGTTGCACTGCCTGAAACCAAAATGAATTCTCCAGAATCCCTCCTTCATCTTGTCATCTCTAGCTTCTAATTAAAAATCTGGGAGCACTTGGCCAATGTTAAGTCACATGATCATGCTTACCTCCAAGAGAGGTTAAGAATTGGAAATTTGACATTTTGCACTTTCACAGTGGTTGGTAAATTTTGCTTTTTATGAGTTAGGGAGTTCCCCAAACACAGAATGGGGGGGGTGGCGCATTTCAGATTTCGGCAACCAAAAATAAAATAAAATAAATGATGAATGTCCACTGTACCCTCCTTTTACAGCACTAGGCTCATTAACTATCTATTCTCAAAAAATTTGGAACTAATACCAGGCATTTGTTAACACTGGATTACGAACACTCACTCCTTTATTTCAGTTCTGGTTACTGAATTCGACCTGATGGGAGGACAAAAACAAAGGGAGAAGAAAAGAGGTTTTCTCCTAAAAAATGTCTTGAATCCCTGGGCTCAAGACCTCTCCAGAGATAGAGGCTGTGTCTCAGCAGAAGTCTTTTAGCCTATTCACACTCCTTTGAATGGATTGATATTGTGTCCCCAAAGCCCCAGATTACAAGTGGGAAAGCAGAAAAGCTCTTCAGATTATGCTCTCCCCACCCTCTAGTCTTCTCCAATGGTACCATGAGAGAGTTGGAGCAGTCCTTTTCCTCAATTTGAAAATAGAACTGATATTGTATTGTTGTTGTTGTTGTTAAATGCTGTCAAGTCAGTTCTGACTCATAGAAACCCTGTGTAGGGTTTCCAAGGAATGATTGGTAAGTTTGACTCACTGACCTTGTGTTTCAAATGGACTTTGCAGCCAAAGGCATTAACCCACAGTGCCACACCAGGGCTATAAAAAATAGAACTGATACTGTTGAGTCCAGTTTCCCTGTATTTCTTCTCTACTGTTGTTTTCTTTTGACCAAACAGGTCTGAATTCTAGAGAATTCATAAGGAACTAACAGCCTTTCTTGGTTTTGGTTTTAAGGGATTAGTGTTCTAAAGTATAGCTATATGTAGTTCCAAGTCTCCTTAGGACACTTACTTCAGTCACATCCTGTGGCGTGATTGTTAAGGGTGCATTCACTGGTAAAGAAACTACTGATTATAATAAATTAATTATCCTAATGAAGTTTGTGTTTCTACTTCCTGGAAATGAATAAAATTCTGGAAATTCACCAAAGAAATTACACTTTTGTGTTTCCTAGAAGATTCATAACATAGAAACATAGAAGTATGGGAAAAACATTGACTAGTTTCCTAGGCTTGTGTCTCAACAGCTATAGTGAAACACTGAAGTTAGGTTGACTTGATTTGATGAGTGAACGGTGAGATTTTAACTTTTCGAAGGTAATAGTCAAGGGGTGACTTGGATCCCCTTCACCAAAGGTCAGGAGCTAGTCTCAATATGAAGAGAACTGTTTTTAAAATATAGTTTAACTTTTGTCATCTCTGGAATAGTGCCCTTTATTGAATCTCCCCAAGTTCCCCTTAGGAAGAATAACTAGAGCAGGGTTTCTCAGTAGCAGCACTATTGACATTTTGAGCTGGATAGGTCTTTGTTGTAGTGACCTGTTCTGTATAATATTTGATAGCATCCCAGGACTTTACTAACTAGATGCCAGTAACAATCCCTTACTCCCAATCCGAATGATCAAAAATGCCTCCAGACATTGTTAAAGACCTGCAAAGTCATAACTGGTTGAGAATTACTGGTCCAGACAAAAGTCTGCCTCTTGGTCAGCTTTTATTAGATTAATTACACTTTTAACTCCATGGAGCAGTTGTACTCTATAACACACAGGATTGCTGTGAGTCAAAGATGATTCAAAGGCAATGAATTTAACTTTGGTATATTCCAAGAAGTAAGTCTATCAAAAATCATGTTTTAAAAGTGACCACTTACTTGGTCACTTAAGCATGGCCAAACTTCTGTCAAAATGACCAAGGTTAGCTCCAGATGAGAATTACTTAAGTAGCTCTTTAAAAATACTGATGTCCATTCTAGTGAAAGATAATGAGCTAGGTAGAAAGACTGTGCAGGCTTTCTGCATCAAGGATACAGAAAACCAGATGAGACAGATACAGAGGTTGGTCCTGGCACTCTGTGCTCTAGGGGAAGGGATAGAAACATAGATGAATATTTGCTGGGAAACAGAGTTGAATAGTTGTGGCAAGAGACAAGGTGACTGGTGAGCAGCAGCAGTTGACAAAAACCGCCTCAGCCATCTTGAAAATTCATGAAGAGCATTAAAGATAAGAAAACATTTCACGTTACAAAAATATGCTGGTGAACTGAATAGACAAGAGTGTGATTTTCACCCCCTTTTTTCTGACCAACATATAACCATAAGGAATCTCCCACTTTCCAGGGCTTGGGAGGAGCAACATAAAATAACCCCACTAGGGTAAGATCTGATTCAAATCTGCAAAATCAAGCCTGGACTGGTTCTCATTAGGTGAGGGGGTTGAATGGATATCAGGGATAGAGAAAGAAAGGGTGGAAAGAAGAAAAAGAAGCAGGTTATTTGTGTGGGTCCTGCGGACCAGGCTAATAGGTGGTGAAGCACATTATTTATTGGCAGAAAGAAAGCCACTGGCTTTCATTTTTGCTATGTGGTTTGTTTTGTTTGTTTTCCTTCTTATTGCACCACAAAATAGGAGATAGTAACTGTGCCCATGCAACTAAGCCACAGCCATATCCTTTACAACCCCACCAATTAGACAAAGGCCAATACCAGCTGCTATACAACAGAGCAGTGACTGTAACCAACTTCTGCTAAATCTACTCTGAATTGAACTGAACAGTAAACAAAAATTCATCTCCTGATAACACCCACCATGAGGCAATTGGTGAGTGCATAAGAATACACCAATATACATTCATTAACTTAATACAAATACAATACCACCACAATGCCTAGAAAACAGAATAACATTTCTGTTTACATGAAGAAACAAGACAGAGCAACTCAAACAAACGACTAAGAGGAAGAGCTAGAAAATGCTTTTGAGGAAGAAGAGACACTGGAACTACCTGTAAAAGAATTCAGAAGAATGATATTGAAGTACATCCAAACATTTTGCAGAAAGGTCAAGGAAAACAAGGAAGAATTCAAAAAGTACTACAGGAACAATAAAGCAAAATAGATACAACCTATAGCATGGAGGCAATACAAAACCCACAAACAGAAATCCAGAAGATCAGAAGTAGGATATCAGAAATGGACAATACACTAAAAGAGCAAAGGAGTAAAACTGAATCAATGGAAGACCGAATTATCTAGTTTGAAGATAAACCTTTCAATACTAGTAAGACAGAAAAACA